TTCTCTTGCTTTTCTTTTTTTTTTGGTCTTTTTGAGACAGGGTCTCCCTGTAGCCCCAGCTGTCCTGAAACTCACTATGTAGACCAGGCTAGACTTGAACTCACAGACATCCGCCTGCCTCTGCTTCCCGAGTGCTAGGATTAAAGGTATGCGCCACCATGCCTGGCATTTTTCATTTTTATTTAGTTTCTAGCTATTGAGATCATTTCATATTAGTACACAGAAAGTATATAGTATTTGCTTACAGAAAGTACTTTTGAACAGCTACAGGATATCTGCTCTCTGCCATGTCAGCTTTGCCAGCCCCACTCAAAGACATTCGTGTTGTCCTCAGGCTTACAACACAGACCATGCCATGGCGAAAACTTTGTGTGCTTATGGTTTTATACATAGGCAGGTGTGTCTGTGATATACCCCCAGAAGTGGATCACTGGGCCACTGGGACATGCATTTTATTTTTTTTTAAGGTTTATTTTTATTTTATGTGTATGAGTGTTTTGCTTGCCTATATTTGCACCACATGCATGCAGTGCCCATGGAGGTCAGAGGAGAGCATAGATCCCTGGAACTGTAGTAACAGACCTTTGTGAACTACCATGTGGGTGATGAGAACCGAGCCTGGATCCTATATAAGAGCGGCAAGTACTTTTAACTGAGCCATCATTCCTCCAGCCCTGGGCCATGTGCTTTGGTTTTCATAGATACTTCCTTTCAATTTTGAGCTCCCACAAGTACAGTGATATCCATGGAGGAGTGGTTCCAGGACCCCTGTGTAAATGCTGAAATCTAAGTTTGCTTGAGTCTTAGCCAGTGGAATAGAGTGTACACATGACCTGTGCATCTCCTCAGATATACTGTAAAATAAATCACTTTTAAGATTATGGGTACAACCTGACTCAGCAGACATGCCGTGTAAGTCGTTAGACAGTATTGTTTAGGGACTGCATGCCCATGCCCTAGAGTTCAGAGGACAACCTTGGGTACTGGTCCTCACCTTCCATCTTGTTTGAGACTTGGTCTCTCTCTTGTTTGGCTACTGTGCACTCCACACTAGCTGACTCATGAGCTTCAGGGATTCTCCTGCCTCCACCTCTCCTCACACTGTAGGAACAATGGAATTACAGATAGGACCTGTAATCATAGCTGACTTTACATGGGCACTGGGGAGATGAAATCAGGTCCTCCTGCTTATGCGACAGGCACTTTACTTCCTGAGCCATCTCACCAGTCCTATACTTCTTATTCTGGAACTACCTGTTCATGCTGTCTGCATATTCTTTTCTTTTGGGTTGCTTTTTTCTCATGTCTAGTTTCCAAACTGGAGAGGTTGGCTCTGAGTCGTCTAAGTCACAGTTCTCTATCTGGTCACTTGCACTTTAATAAACAGAAAGCTTACATCTTTTTCTTTCAGTTTTGCATAGTTTGTCAGTTGTCTACGGTGTTTGGATCTTGAGGCATTGAAATGAGTTTTGGAAGTCGTCCATGTTAGCACTTCCATGGTTCACTTTTATACTTAACGCTTTGGTCCATTTAGAACTCAGGCTGCTGTTCGCTGTGGGAGCATACAGACCCTGCTCTGTCTCCTAACATAGCTACCTGTTCTCTGGACATATTTGTTTCAGAGCCTGTCTGAGTTCGTGCTCAGTGTACTGGGAGCCCCTGCATGTGTTCGGGTGCGTCTGTGGACTTTGCGTTCTACTTTTCTAGGGGAAAAAAAGTAAAACCTTCAAAGTATAAATCATGTTGAATGATTAAACTTAAACATCAGTTTAGCTTTTTCCAAGCCTGAGTTTCTCCATCTCTAAAAGGCGCTGTACTGTCTTGGTGAGGGCACGCAGGCATTTGAAGTGAAAGTGGGAAGTCTCCGCCACTGCCACCTCCATGCTCTGAGCTGCTCTCCTTTTTCCTACTCTCTCCTTCACATTTTTGAAAACAAGAATGAGAAAAGCCAGGAGGAGAATAGAAGGAATCAGTTAAAACGAAGCTCTGGCTCAGTTTGAGCATGATAATCGACCTTTTTAAAAATGCTCTTGCAGTACTGGTGATACAGTCCAGCGCCTCACACATACTAGGCAAGTGCTCTACCTCTGAGCTGGCAGCCATCCCCCTCCGCTTCTTTTTTTTTTAGTTTTGAGACGGGCTCACTAAGTTACTCAGGTTGATTTGAATTCACTGTGTAGTTCAGCAAGTCATGAATTTGTAATCCTCCTGTCTCAGCCTTCAGACCAGCTGGGGTTACAGGCTTGTACCCACCAGTATGTTCGGCTAATCAGTACATTTAAGAAAAGAAGACAAGTTAGGCAGAGTGGCGCACTCAGAAGGCAGAGGCAGGTAGATCTCTGCGAGTTTAAGGCCAGCCTGGTTTACATAGTGAATTCTAGAATTCTAGGCCAGCCAGGGCTGCCTAGTGGAACCCTGTCTCAAAAAAAAAAAAGAAAGAAAGAAAGAGAGAGAAAGAGAGAGAGGGGGGGAGAGAGGAGAGCACTTAGAGGCCATGGGAAGACACAGACAAGTGACCACTAACAAGTCAAAGACAGAGGTCTCAGGAGAAACCAGGCGTACCCACACTTGACCTCAGGCATCTTTCCTCTAGACTCACCAAGCTCATTTCTGTTGTTTAAGGCCCAGTTTGTTTTAGGAAAATGATGTGCCAGCAGCTACCAAAGAGCAGGATACCACCTAATGTCATACATTTCACAAAGCAGAGACCAAAGACAGAATCAGAAAATTCCACAGAGACTGGCCCATCACCGTCATTTATGATCTGTGGCTTGGCTGTATCTGAAAGTTTTGGCACTTAGCTAATCAGAAGTAGCCATTATGTATGTTTAAATCATTTATCAGCATTCAGCAGGCTAAGGGCAGAGGATCATGAGTTTGAGACCAGTGTGGGCTACATGATGAGTCCGAGAGAGAGAGAGAGAGAGAGAGAGAGAGAGAGAGAGAGAGAGAGAGAGAGAGAGAGAGAAAGGAAAGAGAAAGAAAGAAAGAAAGAAAGAAAGAAAGGAAAGAAAGAAAGAAAGAAAGAAAGAAAGAAAGAAAGAAAGAAAGAAAGAAAGAAAGAAAGAAAGAAAAAAGGATCAAGAACAAGCTAAAGCATCCTTTCTGCTTTCTGGACTTGCTGCTTAATCTTCTCTTGGATGCACCCAGCTACGATGCTGCTAGGCATTGCCTAAAAGCCCTGGGTTCTCAGACCATCCAGAATGGTCTGCTGCCTCATGCTTCCAGTCAGACACTGGCAACTCAATAAAAGCAGTGTCTGTCGCATGGAGTATCATGTCTGCCTGGTGACTTGTATGTATCTCGATAGACTGGAAACTCAGGAGAGACCATGTCCATCCTATAAAAGATGCCCAGTACCCTAGCAGAACACCTGATGGAGTGCATGCCAGACAATTGCTAAACAAGTGAAGGAGGAACTGGCTCTGGTCTTCCTTTTTGCCTTGTGTTGGGGTGACTCATCTCACCTGTTACTCTGTCAGCCCCTTGAAGACAGTGACAATAAACAAATGTAACAAACAGTAGGGTGGACGTGGTAAGAAGCAGATTTCTTAAATTATGTAATAATGGAAGCATGAGTGTTTGACGTGTGTGCTTAGGAGCTGCTGAGGAGTCCCTGGTGTGGGTCATTTCACGTGACACTCATGTCCTTAGTTGGGTGCTGTTGACAGGCACACAGAAAATGGGCCCTGAGGTGTGTTGGCTCACCTTGGATGTCCGGTGGGCACAAGTGGTCAGAGCTCCATGTCCAGCTCCCAGCTTGCTCCACAGCAGCTGCTGAGTACAGTCATCTGTGGGTCCTTGAATGATTTAGGAGAAAGTTTTATTTCCCAGTTGGCTTTTCCCTTCTCATTTGGGGACCTCAGTGTTGTGGCTTACTGGGACCTTTCCACTCTTGGGCTGGCTATGATCCCTCTCCAGGCTGTAGTAGGTGTCTAAGAAAAAGTAATTTTTACTTTTTTTTTTTTTCAGGTTCATAATAAAGGTGCTAAGAAAGAGAATGTAAGACAGGAAAATAATTAAACGTTTTTACTGGGGTAAGTTTTTTATATTTTTAAAACACTTTCCTTTAAAGTTTTTTCTTTTAATTTCTTCAGTCTCCTTCCTTAAGGGAGATTCTTTTAGGAGTGTTTGGACTTGCGGAACATGGGGGTTGTGAGATCGGTGTCAGGAGCATGGGCTGTGCAGTGGAGCCCCCTGGGCCTTCCTGGCCTCTGTAGATCTAATCATTAGCTTTGCCCCATTCAGGTTGCTCAGTGGTTATTTCTCCTTGCAGCATTCAACGGCACTTTGTTTTGAAATGGGGGTTGAGAGGACAGGAGCCAATCTTAATGTGGTGAAGCACTTCTTTTTCTTGTTTCTTTCTTTTCTTTTTTTATTTTTTGGTCTTTTTGAGACAGGGCCTCCTGTAGCCCCAGCTGGCCTGGAACTTGCTCTGTAGACCAGGCTTGGCCTTGAACTCACAGAAATCCACCTGCCTCTGCCTCCCAAGTGCTGGTATTAAAGCCATGCACCACCATACCCGGCTCTTTCTTTCTTTATTTATTTAAGTAAAATGAGAACATTTTGTGTCAGTATAAAACCATGACACAAGTAAGCTCCTACCACCAAGAAATGTCCACAGTGCTTTCGTAAACATACTTTTAGAAATTTGTCAGTGGATATAAAATTATATATAATATTTTAAATAAAGCAATAGTCTTAAAATCTGTAACGATTTTTTAATGGATGTTGTGTATATCACTGTGTTAAATTGAAAAGATATGAATAATCAGGCATGGTCTTTTAAAATTATATTTACTTATCTCTCTGTGTTTGTGTGAGTGCACAGTGTGTAGGGGGAGGTTGGACAGCTTGCACAAGTCAGTTGTGTCCTTGCACCATGTGGACTGTAAGGATGGAACTGAGATGATCAGGTTGCTGGCACCCTAAGCCGTCTCCCTGGCCTCATCATTTATGCTGCTGTACACTGCTGCAGTGACTGGAGACTTCATACTTCACTTAACTATTCCTTTGATGACAATTTAGATTTTCTGTTCTGTTGTTTTTCTTGTGGATGATGGTGTGTGGATTACTGTGCACACGTGCTGTTGTGTCAGAGGAACAAACTGCTGAGCCAAAGACTGGACACGTTTTGAATGTCGATAAGCATTGCTAGCCTGGGAGCTGTGAAGACTCCCCAACTCCAAGTCCATGAAAACCCTGTTTTTCACACAGCCTTACTAATCTTTGCCAAGTTTCGTTTTGCTTTGTTTTATTAGGACAGGGTCTCCCTATAGCCCCAGCTGGCCTGGAACTCACTATGTAGACCAGGCTGGCTTTGGTCTCACAGAGATCTGCCTACCTCTGCCTCCCAAGTGTTGAGCAATCTTTATCAATTTAATGAGAGGTATTCTTTCAAGATAGCAAGATTTTTTTTAAATTCAAGTATATCTTTCTTGTTTTCAAATACCTCTTTCCTTTTATATTTTTTAAATGTTATTTTTATTTTACATATGAGTATTTGGTTGCATGTATGTAAGTGTACCACATGTGTGTAATGCCCATGGAGGCCACAAGAGAGCACTGGATCCCCCGGAACTGGAGTTACAGGATGTTGTAGCCACCACGTGGGTGATGGGAACTGAACCTAGGTTTTCTGCAAGAGCAGCCAGTGTGCTTAACCACTGAACCAACTTTCTAGTCTCTCTCTTGATATTATTATGTGAATTTTTTTCTTATTGTGAATATACCTGTGGGTCTCGTCTGTGAGTGATTCTTTAAATGTAATGAAAATATTAAAATATATTTTTTATTTTTACATCTGCTGTCTTGATTAACTCATTTATAAATACTTTTAAATCAACCAAGTGTAATCGTTTGGAATATAGACATTTTTCCTCTGTAAGGAACAATATTCTTTGTGTTTTATTCAGTATAGGGAAGCCCTCCCTCCCTCTCCTTTGAGACAAGGTCTTACTGTATGTCACAGGCTGGCCTCAAACACATGGTCCTTTTGCCTCCACTTCCTAAGTACTGCAGTCACAAGTCCACCACCTCTTTCAGACATGGATAGCAATTACTGAACAGCGTACAGAATGCGATTTCCATGCCTGGGTGATGCTGACAGAATTGTTAAGTATGTGAATGTGTGTTCACAGGTAAACTAGCATATTCACACTGGCTCTCTTCTGCCCAAAGGATTTGATCAGTTTCTGATATAAATGTGATCTTTCATTTTATTCTATGTTCACTTTAGATCTTATTTCAGTCAAAAAAGAGTTACCTAAGGAAGATCTCACATGAAACAGACTAACCTTGTCATTGACTCACAGTTTGTTCTTTGACTTAATGAAAAGCTTATCAGAATTTACCTTTTTCCTGTATACAGAATGCATTGTATGCTACAGATTGCCTTCCCTGCAGGTCTTGCGTTTTTACTAAGTTAGGATTGTTGACTGAGTTCCTTGAGTTGGGACCATGTCATCCAGGTGGTGTTTGATTCCCCAGTTTTCTTCCAACACCTAACACAGCACTTGGCCAAGTGTGGCAGGTATCCAGGTCATTTTCTAACCAAGTGGTTAATGCGTATTGTTACTGCTGACTTAAAATTGAGATGTACAAGAGAAGTACTTTAACTGTTCATTTGGAGAAGAAAGCTAGCATGTGACTTTTGTATGCACCTAAATCTCCACATACGTAATTGTCCTGGTATTTGTTGTCAGAACATTTTGTCACATTTTGTTTGGAATTTTATTATAGCCCATTGTTTTTAGAATCACATAAACTACCATAGGTTTTAAAAAATACTTTCTTTTCTTTTTAATGTTTTCTTATTATAAGAGAATTTCATACAGATATGCAGTGAATTATATCAACTCCTCATTTCCCCCTCCAACCCTCCATCTCTGCCATCTTCCCCAACATGTCCCCCTCATGTCTTTTTCTTTGCTGATAACCACTAAGTCCAGTGAGTGCTGCTCATATGTGCGTGAATGTGGGGCTGTTGCTGGAGCATGGAACTCTACCAGTGACCACATCCTCAAACTCCCCTCCTCAGAAACTATCCACTGCTGATAGCAACTCAGTAAGAAGTGGGGCCTGGAGACCATCTCCTCCCATATAGGCCAGAATTTTGGCTGCTTGATCTTGTGCAGATCCCCACAGCTGATGTGAGCTCATGCGTGCCGACAAGCATGTCATGTCTAGGAGACAGCATATGACCAAAATGAAGTTCCGTTTCTCTCCATTATGATCAAAAGTATGAGAGAGAGGCATTTTTTTCTTTTCAAATAACATAACTGAAAATATTCTCATGTCTTTACTGTGAAACCTAATTAGGGTTTTAAACAAGACCCAGTACCATATTTTAGATATTAACTCTGCCCTTGCAACAACAAAAAACATGACAAAAAATAGATTTAAAATATGGTTGTTTGGACTGGAGAGGTGGCTTAGTGGTTAAGAGCACTGGCTGCTCTCAAAGAAGACCTGGGTTCAAATCCCAGCACCTGCATGGTGGCTAACAACCATCCATAACTCCAGTTCTAGGGAATCAAATGCCCTCATCTGGCCTCTGCTGGTACTGCATGACTCAGGTGCACACAAGCATAACACTCAGACACATATTATAAAAAACAGGGCTGTTAGCAATCAAAATGATAGAAACAGGGAGAACTCCCAAATTCCTTCTATGAAGCCAGCATCACTCTAATACTGGGTAAGACACAGCCAAAATAGAAAACTATAGACCCATATCCTTAATGAACATAGATGCAAAATTTCTCAACAAAATACTTGCAAACTGCATATAGACACACATCAAAAAGAACATTTACCATGATCAACTAGGCTTTATCCTAGAGATGCAGGGATGGTTGAATATACGTTAACTCAATAAACGTCATTAACCATGTAAATGGACTCAAAGACAAAAATCACACTGTCATCTCAATAGATGCAGAAAAGGCTTTTGACAAAATTTAGCATGCACTATGTTCAAAGTCCTAGAGGGAATTGAGGTATGGGAACATACCTCAACATAATTCAAACTATATACAACAAACCCACAGCCGACATCATTCTAAATGGAGAAAAACTAAAAGCATTCCCATTAAAAATGAAGAACCAGACAAGGATCTCCACTATCTCCACTCCTTTTTAACACAGTGCTTGAAACTCTTGCTAGAGCAATAAGACAGGAGAAGGAAATTAAAGGAGCACTGATTGGAAAAGAAGACGTCAAACTATCACTTTTTGCCGATGATATGATACCGTACATAGGAGATCCCAAAAGTTCCACCAGAAAAACATTTTCACTATAGTGGCAGGTTATAAAATCAATCTACAAAAATCAGTAGCCTTTCTATATACCAATAACAAGCAATTGAGAAAGAATATAGGGAAATGTTCCCATTCACAATAACTGCAAAAAAAAATTGGAATAAATCTAACCAAAGACACCAAAGATCTCTACAATGAAAATTTTAAATTGTTAAATAAAGAGATTGAGGAAGACACCAGGAAATGGAAGGGCCTTCCATGCTCATGGATTGAAGAATTAATATTGTGAAAATGACCATCCTACCAAAAGTAATAGATTCAATGCAATCCCAACCAAAATCCCCATGACGTACTTCGCAGAATTAGAAAAAAACATCCTTAAATTCATATGGAAGCACAAAAGACCCCCGGATAGCCAAAGCAACCCTGAGCACAAAGGGCAATGCCAGGGGATTACTATACCAGATCTCAAAGTATACTACAGAGTTATACTTATAAAAACAGCATGGTACTGGCACAAAAATAGACACATAGATCAATGGAACATCATTGAAGATCCAAACCTGAGTGCATGCAATTTCAGCCACCTGATATTTGACAAAGGTGCCAATAACACACACTAGAGGAAAGACAGCATCTTCAACAAATGGTGCTTGACATACTGGAATCCACTTTTAGAAGAATGAAATTGGACCTCTATCTTTCACCTTGCACAAGAGTCAAGTCCAAATGGATCAAAGACCTGAAACTCTGAAACTGTTGGATGAAAACATAA